TGTAATAATGGAAAAAAATCTTTTAAAAAAAAAAAAAAAAAAAAAAAAAAAAAAAAAAAAAACACATGATGATTAGTTTTCTCACTTTTAACTCTTTCTTCACAAGGAAAAAATCCCTTATTGAAAGGATCAAATTCATGCATAGGTTCTCAGCCAATCTGAACAGTCGGTGTTCTCCACGTTTACCCTTTATCATTGATATTATCTTTGTTACATCATACATCAAAGCTTTGTTCTTTCCATGGTACCTGGAAAAGTATTGTGAAAACACTAATAAGCAAGGTGTGGAGCACAATATGGTCGATAGTATAAATAATTGGAAGTAGACAGGATATTCAATAAGGAAGGCAGTTAAACAAAGAGAACTAAAGATGCAATTCAGAAATAAGAAGGATAAGGAAAATGATAAACTTTTTCAGGGAGTAAGAAATGAGGACAGCGAATCAAAATCAAAATTTGGATGATTTATCAGTATAATGAAAACCATATTTTAGGGATTATAGCAACCAAAAATTCAAAATTTCAAGTTCAGCTAAATTTCAAAGGAAATTTTACATACGTAGCACACAAATCTTATCTATTTACGTATCTCATTCTGATACTTTCATATTTAGATTGCATTTTGGTGCTTGCACTTGTGCATGAAAATGTATATTTCACTTTTAAAAAGTGACAACATTGCTATTTTTGATCTCATAAATATGAAAATTTAGGTGTGATTTTATGGAAACACATAAGATTTGTTGAGTGTTATATATATAAATGTCTGACAAAGGTGTATCCTACTATAGGAACGGAAGTGGCTTTCCGTAATCTTACCACAATCCCATGACCGCACAAGCGGCCGGCTCACACGATCAACAATGAACCGAACCGAGCGGCCCCGTTTTCAATTCATTTCCAATTTTAGGATGTTTCCTCCTTTCCTTTCATTCCTTTCTAGTCATTTCCTATATATTTGTTGTATTAGGGGCTTGGTTTTCAGTTTTGGATTGTGTTTCTGTCAGGACAGCCGTCGGCATCCCTTTTTTTCCCTTTTAGGGTTGTTTCTACGGGTCGAGTGGTGCTCCGGCTGTATCTCATTTCCTCCCACTTTGTTATCGTGCCTTCCTCATTGCAGCCACTGCCCTAAACAGTTGTTCCTGGCTGTTTGCTGCTGTTCCAGCCATCCCAAACCACTTCCTTGTCTACTAGCCGCTCTCCCAGGCCTCCTGAACTGCTTCCTTGCCACATATCCGCTGTCCTAACCACCCGGAACCCCCTCCCCGCGGCCTAGCTGCTGTCAACACCGCTTCGGATCGTTGTTTTTTCGTTGCCCGACCCACCTATCCACTTGTCATCCCGGGCACGAAATAACCCCCGCTTCCCTATTGCACCGCCCACCTGCTCCACCTCCCCATCGTGCTGTCAACCCCCAAAATCCATCACCATCATCGTCGGTACACCCTAGTCATAGTTTCTATGTGGTGTATGTTACTGTTTTCTATTTTCCATGCGTCAATTGTATCAGCCTATTCGCTTTTCCAGTAATAATATTCGTTTGCTTATTGTAGTTTGAGTTAACACCGTTATCAATACCGCAATTTCAAATATATGTTAGGTCAAACCAGCTTGAAATATATTGATTAAAACTGAGCTCAAAATCATTTTGAATTGGTTTGGGATAAAAATCTGAATAAACAAGAAAGATGTGAACTTGCCAAGAGTAACTGGAAATAGAGCAACTCTTTCTCTAAAAATATACAAAATAACTGTATGCATGATTCTTCAAGTCAGGCGTCTTCAATTAGATTTTCAGCAAGCAGTAGTGGACATGAAACTGACACAAAATGGGTTCAGGTCTATTCTCATCACAACCAAGTCAATTTGAATTTTGAATCGAGTCAAAATCCCAACGAGAGCCAACTTTGGTATCTTTATCAACTATAAATGTTATATAGACACATTGCAAATAATTAGCGATCTCACATATCAAGAAACCATTGGATCATCAACGTTTTTCCTGACTTGTGCCTTTTCATATCAAACAAACCTAATCTAAAGGATAACTGTTCATTCAATTTTTAAAGGCCATTTTAATAAGGTATATGAATATTTTATGCAACCATAAGAAAGTTACACAACATTAAAGTTTGGCTTTGAAAAATGATCTGCATTGCACTTCTCAGTGGTTATTGTACCTTTAATGAAATATGGTCTTCCTGAAAAAAAAAAAAATTAGGACTTCCCCAGAAGTCATCAGGCATCTTCAGAAAAAGGGGCCGACAATTGAGGAATGATTTTATTAACAAGATGATTAGTATGTTAAGACATGTTTAGTTATCTTTAAAAACATTCAAAATACTTCAAAGTTATTTGAGTATTTTTAGAAATAACTTGATTTGTTTTTAAAAACAAAAATAAAAACATGCGAGAATATATATTAAACAAACGTTTGAAAAGTTGGCACTATGATGGATCAAGGTTACCTGTACAATGGCAACAATCTATAGTTTAATATTTCTAAGAGCAAAAGGGAAACGCCAGGCTTGCTCAAAATTGATGGGGATCTCTGAGTCAAATTCTGCAAGAGGTGAAACGTATTAGTACAATACAAGGTAAATTATAAACAGTTCAAAATAGAATAAATAACAAGAAACAAAACTATAAATATTATAGACTTTAGATCTTTAAAAATTCTAAGATTTTCATCGTTTCAACTATTACGTTATATTATGTAGATTTAATCACTCTAAACATGCACACATAAATTAGCGACATCCTATGGGACAAAATTGATGCTCTTAAGTGCTATAAAAAAGATTAATATTGTTGAATCCAAATTTGTCCGATAGATCGTGCCCAAAGAATAGAGTGTTAAACCGAGGAAATAGAGAGAGAAAAAGAAGTAA